GCCCTCAACCCCATCTCCCTCAGAGGATTAAACAATTGAGTAGATTTCAACGCACTTGCACCACATCACACTGTGTGCACGAGGTAAGGAGGCTCCACATTATAGTGCCACCCTCACCCAGCTACAACAGAGAGACCCTCTAGTCCAGTGGTCATTGGATCACCAGGACCCGTTAACAAGTTACAAGGACCCTTGGGAGAGGAAACACCTAAACTCCTATCTCATGCTTGAGACAAACTGAACTAGGAGTACAAGGTACCAGCAAAGTGGTGTTGGGGAGGAATAATTTTCCTTTACCTTTTAAGGACTCTTCTGGCTGGTCTAAGAATTAAATTGACATGAGACAGATTCACAGGAGAAAATCAAGCTTAATTCTGTACATGTGGGAGCACCACACACATGACAGGTTCAAAGACACAAAGGTAAAATGTGGTCAATAGGCCCTCCTGGGCTAAGGTATGGGATAGGGGTGTGGGGCCTCCAAGGGGAGGATGACAAGTCACAGGGCAATAAGAAGGGCAGATGTTAGGGGCGCCTGGGTGGCGCAGTCGGTTAAGCGTCCAACTTCAGCTCAGGTCACGATCTCGCGGTCTGTGAGTTCGAGCCCCGCGTCGGGCTCTGGGCTGACGGCTCAGAGCCTGGAGGCTGCTTCGGATTCTGTGTCTCCCTCTCTCTCTGCCCCTCCCCCGTTCATGCTCTGTCTCTCTCTGTCTCAAAAATAAATAAACGTTAAAAAAATTTAAAAAAAGAAGGGCAGATGTTTGGTAGATGTTTGCCCTGCCACACAGGAGAGTCGGTCAGATAAAATTGATCTCTGGTAATAACTCTTGCTCTGGGAAAGATCCCCAACTTAGATTCATCCAGGGAGTTAAGGGAGGTGCGAAAATTTCTCTTCAGCCTGCAGGATCTGGGCGCCTGGGTGGCTCAGTCAATTAAGTGTTCGACCTCAGCTCAGGTCATGATCTCACGGTTCGTGAGTGCGAGAACCACATTGGGCTCTGTGCTGACAGCTTAGAGCCTGGAGCCTGCTTCAGATTCTGTGTCTCCCTCCCTCTCTGCCTCTCCCCCACTCATGCTCTGTCTCTCAAAAACAAATAAAAACATTTTTAAAATAAAAAAAAAATAGTCCATATGCCAAAGTGACCCATTTGGGGGGAATCTTGTCCTGAACCCCTTCAACAGCATGTGTCATAGGCAAGAGGGCCTGAGTTTGGCAAATTTCTTAGAGTTCCTGGGCCTTGGTGCCCTCATTTGCAAAATGGGGTTGTTTATAAAATCAACTCCCATTTCTAAGGGTTGTTGTGAGGGTATTTGAGACTAATGAATGTAGAATGTTCAGCTTTGTGCCCCTGGGTAGTAAATGCTCAATCATTCAAGCTTCCTATCGTGATCATCATTATCACACCCAAATCCCAGTCAGAACGTTTGGATCTGAGCTCAGGCCTGAGTTGAAATAAATTTCTCAGCCCAAGGTGGAGCCACTCCTGCCCAAGCTGTCATGTCAGGAAACTGACACTTTCTTTTTTTTTTTGTTTTTAACGTTTATTTATTTTTGAGACAGAGAGAGACACAGCATGAAAGGGGGAGGGGCAGAGAGAGAGGGAGACACAGAATCCGAAGCAGGCTCCAGGCTCCGAGCCATCAGCCCAGAGCCCGACGCGGGGCTCGAACTCACGGACCGCGAGATCGTGACCTGAGTCGAAGCCGGGCGCTTAACCAACTGAGCCACCCAGACGCCCCTGGAAACTGACACTTTCATGTTCCTGCAAATGCTCTACTTGACCAGGAACACAGTCTAGCAGGTCAGCAATCCCCAAAGGCCAAGCCAGCTCTGGGCTCTATACTTATCTCCTTGCTCCTTCCTCACTTTCTATCTTTCTTTCCCTTGTCCCTTATTTTTTAGCCTATAAAATCTTCCTGCCCTCTGCCCCACTTGGAAGTTCTCTGGATCCTTGGGAATGGAGATTGCCCACTTCACGAAGTGTTAAGTAAAGCTATTTGGTATCACCAGATTGTCTTTAATCATTTTTTTTTTTTTTTTCAGTTTTCGGTATGAGGAAGAGATCCAAAGTTGCCTGCTAACAGCCTGTGGTACAACAAGACACCCAGGCCAGGAGCCCACTGAACAGTCTGGGCTCACTGATCCTCTCATGGTTCCTGAGGATGGTGGGTGAGTCACTTTCAGATTTGAGCTCTGCTCCCTTGTGTGCAGCTCTCTGGTCCAAACAATATACGTATATGTACAGGTAGATATTGTCCTCAGAAACGTTCTGGGATCCTGGAAAGGTTACAGGACAGTTATATTGAGAGGGCACAGTGGGTGGCAGCCATTGCAAAGCCTTGAGGTGAGTTTGCAGCATAATCTGCTAGGGAACTTTGGTTAATAAACTAAGATAAGGAATGCTGACCGTTTTGACCAATGGCACATCAAATTCTCCGTAGGCACAAGTTGGACAATTAAAACCCATTAGGACATCTGCCACTTTAAAGGAATCTTCTTGGAGCGCCCTGGTGGCTCAGTGGGTTAAGCATCCAAGTCTTGATTTCTGCTCAGGTCATGATCTCACAGTTTGTGGGTTCGAGCTCCATGTCGGGCTCCATGCTGGCAGTGTGGAGCCTGCTTGGGATTCTCTCTCGCTCTCTCTCTCTCTCTCTCTCTCACTCTCTCCCTTCCCCTCCCCTGCTCACTCTGTCTCTCAAAATAAATAAATAAACTTAAAAAATAAAAATAAATAAAAACATAAGTAAATAAGTAAGTAAATAAATAAAGGAATCTTCTTGTGCAAGGAATAACAGATCTAGGACAGATGGGAATCTCCAAAGCCAAAGCTGTAAAATTGGTAGGCATGGGTCAAACACCTTACAGCTTTCAGAGTGCTCACCACCTAAATCCAAGACCCCTGTGCTAGGCTAAGTTGGTCATATGCTTATGTGACTGACCACAATAAAAACCCGAGAAACCCAGGCTTCAGTGTGTGGGCAACACTTCAAACATGTTGGGCTGGGGGAATGAAACACATCCTGTGTAACTGGACTGGGGAGGGAAGTTTGTGCCTGGTTTCCTCCATTCTTCACACCCTATGCTTTTTCCCTTTCTTGATTTTGATCTGTATGCATTGGCTGTAACCTTAAGTATAACAACTTCTGAGTCCTCTGAGTCCTTTTCATGAATTGAACCTGAGCATGGTCTTGGGGAATCCAAACGCAGGGAGCTTCCGTTGTTGTCTCCAAATAGAAACTATAGTCCAGGGAGGTTAAATAGATTGGCAGAGGTAGCACAGATAGTGAATGGAAAAGCTGACATTTAAATATGTCTTTCTTGGGGCACCTGGGTGGCTCAGTCGGTTGAGCATCCGACTTTGGCTCAGGTCATGATCTCACAGCTTGTGAGTTCGAGCCCGCGTGGGGCTCTGTGCTGACAGCTCAGAGCGTGCTTGGGATTCTGTGTCTCCCTCCCTCTCACTGCCCCTCCCCCGCTCACTCTCTGTCTCTCGAGAATAATAAAACATTAAAAAAAAAAAGAATGTAAATTTGTCTTTCTCCAGGGGCCATACTTTTAACAAGTACAAGAGGACAAATGATGATAATCGGACATAACTGATGTTTCTTGAGTAGAAAATTCAGCAATTGGAACAGAAAATATTCCAAGAATAATACAAGAAAATTTCCCTTAAAAAATCTGTAGATTATAAAAGCCCTCCATGTCCCAGTTAAAAAAAAAAAAAGATGCAAAATGATGTCAAAATAATCTTGTTAAGTTACTGGATCTCGAAGAGAAGCAAAGAAGTCCTTAGACATTCAGGTAGGAAAAAAGCAACATTTAAAGGACAAAAACATTCAGGCCACTTAGCAACATTCCATGGCAGAATTTGGTGGAGCTAGGTCCACCCTGGTCCCAGGTTCTGGGAAAAGAAAGTATGACCCAGGATTTTTTTTTTTTTTTTTTTTTACCCCATCAAATTGTCCTTCAAGTATTAAGGCAATATGCAAAAATTCAGGGAAAATACTGCCTGTAAACTCTAATAGTCACTAATAGTTACTTCATGTGGTGGAAATTCACTGTTCAGTATGGTAGCCACTAGCCACATGTGGCTACTGAGCACACGACATATGACTAATATGAATCATGATGTGCGATAAATGGGAAATACACACCTGATTTCAAAGGCTGAGTACAATATTGCAGAAGAGGAAAATATTGCATTAATATTTTTATTACATGTTGATCATATGTTGAAATGGTAACATTTTGGATATATTGAGTAAAATTAACTATTATTGAAACTAGCTTTACTTTTCTTTTTCCTTTTTTAAAGGCAGATACTAGAAAACTATACGGTAATATATTGCATTATACTTCTGTTGCACAGGACTATAGTAGAATCTGGGGAGGGATTTGCTTCTTGTTTGTACTATTCAGTATAGCTTGATCTTTTAAAAATAAGTGTGATAATTTATATAGAACAATCAACTCATTATTCCTAAGTTAAATAAATAAAGCAATGAACAAAGAGCTATGTTTTCTCTCCTGGGATGTTGAGGCAACCAGCTGGGAGGATCTGGATGGAAACCAGTAATAACAGAATGGAGAACAGCTAAGCTGGGTTCCTAGGGACCGTGTTGTCCAGCCCACTTGTTTGACAGATAGGGAATAGGGAAACTGAGGCCCCCAGAAGTCACTTACCAGTCCAAGGTCACAGGAACTCAAGTGTGCAGTAGATGAGGCTGAGGACTGGCATTCCAGATGCTGAAGAAACACTGACTTAGGGCACTGGCTCAATAGCCTTCAAGAAGTCCTCCCAGGCAAGTGGCACTGCCTCTGGGTGAGACGTCCAATTCTTCTGGGCCCACACTCCTTGTCGAGGGTACTTCCTCTTCCAAGTAATGAAAACCCAGATACTTCCCTCAACTCTGAGGAAGAGGGCACACCTGCTTTTAGCTGCAGGTATAAATTTTAGTCTCCCAGCCCCACTCTAGAACACTCAGCTACTACTGACACCATGAAGTTCAGCCTGTTCCTTGCCCTCTGCTTCCCCTTCTGCCTGGTGGGCATCGCCAGCTCAGAAAAGACCTCAGGTGAGCTGAGGGGTTAAAAAAGAATATCTCTGAGGGGTGCCTGGGTGGCTCAGCCAGTTAAGTGACTTTTGATGTCAGCTCGGGTCATGATGTCACAGTCATGAGATTGAGCCCTGCATCAGGCTCTGGATGGAGACTGTTTAATATTCTCTCCCTCTCTGTCCCTGGCCCTCCCCCACTTGCACGCGCGCGCTCTCTCTCTCCCTCTCAAAAAAAAAAAGAGGACCCCTGAGACCCATAGCCTGTGGGGGAGAGGGAGGCATAGGGTGGGGGGCTGGCTGCATAGGGCTACCTTGTCACTTCCACCTCTGGAGGAAACAAGAAGTGTTCATCTATGGTCTCCATGTAGTCTGGGGAAGATCTGGGGCCAGACCTCACAGATGTCTGTTTGATTTAATTCAGTCCTCACCAAATTTAATTTTTATTACAAAGCAATGCATGGGTTTGTCTTAAAAAGACAAATAATATGTAAATATATGAAGTTAAAAAGTGAGTCCCCTATTTTAGCCAGCCTGAGCAATCCTGCCCTCCAGAATCCTACTCCCAGAATTCTTACAAGAGGAAATAGGTTTTCATATTGCTTTTAAAAGGAAATCAGGGGCACCTGGGTGGCTCAGTTGGTTGAGTGACTGATTTCGGCTCAGGTCACGATCTTGCGGTTTGTAAGTTCGAGCCCCACATTTGGCTCTGTGCTGACAGCTTAGAGCCTGGAGCCTGCTTCAGATTCTGTGTCCCCCTCTCTCTCTGCCCCTCCCCTATTTGTGCTCTGTCTCTGTCTCTGTCTTTCTCTCTCAAAAGTAAACATTCAAAAAAAATTTTTAAATAAAAAGGAGATCAGGTTCTGAAACTTGGCTATACACTGGAGTTACCTAGGGGCTACGTGGGTCCCATACTCCCAGATTCTGATTTAATTAGTCTTGGGTAAAGCCTGGGCATTGGGATTTCTTTAAAGTTCCCCAGGAGGAATCTAATGTTCCACCAACATTGAGGATTGCTGCCCTAATGAAAGACCTTGAATTCCCTTCCTAGAATGGTTTCTTTCCAATTCTAGCGAAGAATGGGTTCGGCCTGGAGCATGTCATATCAATTGAAGATTCACAAAATGGTACCATGGAGCAGAGACGACCCATGAGCTCATTGTCTTAGGGGTGCATCTTTGTTGGGGAGTGTACATATCCAAGTAATGTGTATTGCATCCCATGAACACTGGGATCCCGTGTGTCCACCGCCAAATAATGGGTGAGGACGTGTGTGTTGGGGCGGGGGGGAAGAGGTATACATACCCATGTTTGATAAATCACTTCATGTGATAACCAGAGTCAGATGTGAAAGGAGTTAAAACAACGGGTGATTTAGTAAAATACGTCCATGTCTTTATTTTTTCGTTACTCATGGATAGTGGATATTATTTAAATACCTTTTCCCTAGTTATAAAAATGATACTGTTCATTGTCATTTAAATGATACTAAAAATAACTAGAATATAAAAATCACTTGAAATCCCACCACCCAGGAAAACTACTACAAATACAGTGGTAAACAACTTACTAATCATCATTGCACGGTTTTATCGGTATATTTTACATCAACGGGACCATTCTAGATCTTCTTTCATTTGATTTTTGTTTCACAAGATTATAGACTTCTCTCCATGTTGATATATATAGACCAGCACTATTCTCATCCACGACTGCGTGTAACCCATCAGTCCCCGGTTGGTGAACACTGATATTTTATCCAAACTATGGTTGTTGGCAATTATAAACAAGGCCACAGCACATATCTTGAGTGAAGTTATGAGAAGATGTAGCATGCAGAGTCCGGGATTTGAAATTGGAACTGGCTTTAAACCCCAGGCCTCGACTGCTGGGTTTCATGATTTTTGGAAGATTACCAAACATCTCTGCACCTCCATTTCCTCATTTGTGGGGGAGGGACAGTAAGATCTGCTCCGTGAGGTCATTTAAATCGTGCAACCCGCGGCAAGCACTTAGCGGGGGGCTTGCTGTAGAAGACATGCTTCTAAAAGAAAAACACATATCACCTCTTTAAAAGGACACCTACGTGATAGTCCCTGTCTCTCCTCACCCCCGCAGCCCATCTCGAGCGAGAGGCTCCCCAGGAACTGCTCCAAACTCTGCCTGCCCTGTGCCGGCTCCCCCCCGTCGAGGGCCCCTGCCGAGGCCATTTCTACCGCTATTTCTACAACTCTACAGCCCATGAATGTGAGCACTTCACCTACGGTGGCTGTCGGGGCAATGCCAACAACTTTGAGACCACAGAGATGTGTCTGAGGGTCTGCAAACCCCCCGGTGAGTCCTCTTACAGAAACGGCAGAAGCAAAGGTGGCCCTCGGGTGGTGGTGCTCGTGGGAAGGGAGACGGTAGGATGAGGACGGTGGTGGTTGATGCCATGGTGATGTTGCCACGGGAGGCGATGACGTCAGGAACGACCAGCACGTGTCATGAAGAGGTGCTGGTGGCAGTGGAGGGAGGGCCGTGGGGTGGAGACAGCAAGGCTGCGGTTGACGGCGGGCGGCATGGGTGGCGAAGACGAAGGCGGTATTGGCGAGTGTAGTAAGGTCTTGTCGTGTTAGTGGTGCTGCTGGCCCAGGGAAGGCAGCAATGTAACCTTCACGGGGGATGACGGTGTTGACAGACGATGAAGGCGAGGGTGGCAGTGATCAGGGTGAGAGGTGAGAGAACTGCAGGGGTCCCCGGGAGGGTGGCTGTTGAAGGGGGTGGGTAAGGGGTCCAGCTGATGGCCCTGGCCCTAGGCCACCAAAAGACCGGCCAAGAAGGAAATTGACTGTTATCTCTATTACAGGGACAAGGTAAAAAGCCACCGAAGACCGGGCCTGCATCTTCCTAGCCTTGACCGAAGGCTGGCTGGGCCTCCCTTCCTGCGCTCAGGCCCTGCTTGGAACCCATCCCGGAACCCTCTGGGCCTGGGTCAATAAAGCATTCCAAGCCAGTGTGGCCTGAGGCCTTCTTGCAAGGGCGCAGAACCTGTCCTCACAAATTGCCCACGGCCACCTCAGCAACCAAGGGTGATCAAACCTGCACCACCCCCACCCCTATTCCCTCAGGCCCTCATTGTCCTGTGCCCTCAGAAGGATGAGGACAAAGGACACAAGCTCCCTACCACCAGGGGGTCCTCCTCATGGAGGCCAGACTGAATGCAAAACTGGGGACCTGCGTGTCTGTCCCCAGGCCCCGGCACCTGCTCTTTGCTGCCTGGGGCTCGACTACCAGCTCAGCTTCTACTCCACCTGTTCAGCTGGAGCCACGTCCTAGAGCACGGAAAGAGCTAGAAATTCAGGGGATCTTGGTCAGGTGGGAATTTCCCCCCATGCAGAGGGATCTTGGAAAAATTAGGATTTTATATATTCTTTTAATTGTGGTAAAATATATACAACATAAAACTCACCATTTTACCCATTTCTAAGGGTACAATGTAGTGGCCTGAAGAATACTCACTGATGTGCAAGGGTCACGACCGTCCGCCTCCAGAACATTTTCATCTCCTCAACGGAAATTTCGTGCCCATGAGAACTGACGCCTCATCCCCCTTCCCCAGTCCCGTCACCTCCACCCCACCTTCCGCGTCTGCGAATGGACCCCTCCTCCTGCGAGAGACATCCTGCAGCATTTGTCCTTTTGTGACTGGCTTATAGCGTTAGCATCATATTGTCAAGGTTCATCCCTGCTGCGGCCTGTCAGGATTTCTTTCTTTTTTTTTTTTTTTTTTAATTTTTTTTTAACGTTTATTTATTTTTGGGACAGAGAGAGACAGAGCATGAACGGGGGAGGGGCAGAGAGAGAGGGAGACACAGAATCGGAAACAGACTCCAGGCTCCGAGCCGTCAGCCCAGAGCCCGATGCGGGTCTCGAACTCATGGACTGCGAGATCGTGACCTGGCTGAAGTCGGACGCTTAACCGACTGCGCCACCCAGGCGCCCCAGGATTTCTTTCTTTTTAACACTAAATAATATTCTGTTGCTCCATAATTTTTGGAATGCCAGGTGGCCTCTGCCCTGACCATCGCTGCTGCCTCCCCCATACCCTGTCCTGCTGCCCCCCCTTCCTTGAGATAAACACGGCTGCCAGGGACCAAACAGCAATACTAGAATCCAGGACCTGGGATTCCAGACTAGACACTTGTCCTTGGTGGTTTCATTCATGTCTTTGGTGTGCCCTTCCCAAATACATATAAATAATATACAAATATTCCCAAATACATATAAATAATACATATTTGAGAGAAAGGACTTGTTTTCCCCTCTATTTCCTCATTCTCTTTCACGTTCTTAACTACCTGAGACATTGAGCTCTAGAAGATTAATGGAGGATAGACTTTCACTGGTATATGAAATAGTGTCTTTGCTCTGAAGCTTATACATTTTTAAAAATATGACTATTAAAAACGATTTTAAAGTAAAAAAAATATAAATCGGCATACACACAACTAAAGAATTTAATCAGTTGCTCAGATCAACTCATGACATGGGACAGTAAGAACTGAGAACCGGGGCTCCTGGGTGGCTCAGTTGCTGAAGTGTCTGACTCTTGATTTCAGCTCAGGTGCTGCCACAGCAAGAATTTCAAGGCTCAGAACCCAGATGTTTGGGTGACCCGGCTTGCTTCGCAGCAAAATTACCGCCTGAGATTCATCCTTTCATTCACTCCTTCGTTCAGCAATCATTGGAATGCAAACCGCATGCCAGGCTCTGTTCCGGACACTGCAGCTACAAGACAAAAATCCTTGTCCTTATGGAGCTTAATTATTACTAAACAAGATAAGTGAGACACGTTGCATGCTGATGGCGGTGAGAGCCAGAGGGAAACCACAACAGCAAAGCGGGGAGCTGGTTGCTGGGCAGCGCTTTAAACAGGCACTGCCGGTTAGCCCTCACCATAGGTTAGCCCTCACCACAGCGCCGCACTGGGGGTGTGAAAAGGGAGTCGGCTCCTGGATTCACTTTGAAGGTAGAGGAGGGCACACACGGCTCATGAGGGCAGAATCAAGGATGGCTCCAAGGTTTTTGGCCTGGGCAACCGGGAAGATGAGGGGTGCTGTTAACAGAGATGAGCTGACCATGGATGCGCCTGTTGAGGGTAGAAGGGGAGAGGATCGGAAGCTTGGTTTGATATTAAATCCGAGATGCCCTTGGACGTCCAAGAGCAGATGGCAGGGAGGCGGTTGGGTAAATGGATCTGGAATTCAGGGAGGAGCACGGTGTTGTCAGTGCACGGATCACGTGGGACATGGTAGCGGAGGTTGTTCTGAGTGCTGACCCAGCTGGGGGTGTAAAGACAGCCAGGCCATGACCCCCTGCTGACTTGGCTTGCAGCCTGCTTCGGCCACCCTCCCACCGCACTCTCATCCCATTTACGCCCTGCTTAATTACTGCTTGGAAGAAAAACTCAAGTGACCAAAACCGAGGTGGTTTTGCCCGTGGTCTCAGTTAGCTCATCACCTTCTTCCTACACACACACACACACACACACACACACACACACACACACACCTGCACACATATCACTCGTACAGTCTGGGGGCTCTTGGAAAACCCTCAGAGGCGACCTAAACAGCCCCATCTATGTTGGCTGTACAGACATCACCAGTACTATTGTGCTAAAGACCCAGCACTCATACTTGTGGGGTTTCTAGGTGCCCCTCGCTCTTCCCCTCCCTACCCTTGAACCCCAGATCCCAGGCCAGAACAGCCTATACCCATTCATACATACGCTGATGGAACACTTTCATGTCCCGAGCTGGATCAGGTCCAGACAGAAGACAGCCCCTGTGCCCCCAGGGACCTTAGGAGTTTAATGGACGTTTAAGAAAAAGAACAGCCGGGATGATAAGGAACCTGTGAAAGTAAGTCCAAGGAGCTCTGGGAGCGGAGGGAAGGGGCACCTACAGCAGTCTGGTGTGTCAGGGAAGACTTCCTGGAGGAAGCAACATCTCTCTGGTTTTGTAAGAGTGAACCAGGCAGTAGAGGAGAGTGTGTGGTTGGAGGAACAGGGCATTCTAACGCTAGGATTGAGAGCTGGGGAAGGGACAGGCAGACTGCAAATACGGATGCAACTAATGCCAAATGTGCCAGAGGCAGACACAGAAGACTGGGGCGGGGGGGGGGGCGCGGGGGAGTCTGCCTAAGGATCTGCTACAGGAACCCAGGGCTGTAGAACCAGAAGGGGAGGTGGGCAGGGGCAGGCCTCCATCCGATGGGTCTGGCTCCAAAGCCTGTGGGAGGTCTAAGGACCACCCACAACACGTGCTCGTGAAGAGCCTGACAGAAATGCAAAGGCGGGGTGGGCTACACTCAGGCCAACTGAATCCACAGGGTCTGGACCCCGGGAAGCTGCATTATTTTCACAAGCATCTCAAGTGATTCTAATGCACAACATGGTTAGAAAACCAACACACAGGGCTCTTCTGCCTCTCCAGCCCTACCCCGGTGATCGGGGACTGGTTCTCGGGGCCCCTGGAAGGTGGAGGATGATTCACGGTCATGGTCATGGTCATGGATATGCTTATATAAACACTCCTGGCCAAACCCAGGGAGTTCTGGGAATCACCAATGAGGGCACCAGGGAAGCCAAAGAAGGAATTTTCAGCAGGTGAAGGAACTTTGTTTGTCAGGGTTTGGGGGAAAGTGTAGAAGTCTTAGGCAGGCGCCCAGCAAAAGGCCCTAGACCCCTCTTCCCGGGCCTCAAGAACAGGAGGCCAAGAACTAAGAAAGTCACTTTTTATTCCACAACTAGCCAATTCCAGCTACCACACAGTGATACAAGTTCTTCAACGTGCCCCATTATCTAGGTCGGTACTGTCCTAGAACTTTCTGCAATGATGGAAATGTTTGTCCGCACTCTCCAATACAGTAGCCACTAACCACTTCTGGTTACTGAGCACTTGAAACGTGGCCAGTACAGCAGAGAAAATGAATTTTTAATTTAAATTAAATTCAAATGTCACATCTGGCTTGTGGCTACTGAACCAGACAACACACTCCAGGGCTCGGCCTCATCCAGGGGCGGTTTGGTTCGAAAGCCAACTCTGTAGGGAACACGTGGCAGAAAGAGCCCTGGGAGTCACCACCGCCCCTCCCCAGAGGTTCACAGCAGCCCCGCCGTGAAGAGGGCAAACCTCAGAGCGGCGGCACGCCACGGGCACGCCGGATAAGGTTAGCCAGCCGCTTGGCCAGGCCGCCCGTGCTGGGCTCCTCAATGTGGAAGGTTCGGGTGAGGAGATTGTAGAAGGAGCCATAGCACACGGCCACCACCGTGCACGTGAGGCAGATGACGTTGTAGGGCATGCTGAAGTCCGGCGTGGGCAGGTTCACCAGCAGCGGCTCCGTGTAGAGGCGCACAAAGTAGCTAGAGCTATCGGAGACCGGGTACCTGGGGGTCGGGAAGGAAAGGTGAGGCAGGACGAGGCTACTCCAACCCGCCCCACCCTGCCCCACCCCGTCCCCACTCTTGGCTGCACTGGGTCCAAGCGCAGCGGCGAGGGTTTGCAAAGCTTTCTTAGCCTCAAAACCTTTTTGACAGAAGACATCTCGGATCAACACAGAAACACGTAAGACAGCACAGAAACCTGTTCAAAGGAGAGCTGCCTTGTGCTGACGTGAGGAAAGGGGCCCAGCCTTCTCTGGGCTGCCTCTTCCTTAGCCTCCGGTCTCAGCCTCGAGGCTGTCTCCTCAGAGAAGTCCTCCTGGATAACCCACTGAAATACTCCCCAGCACCACCCGTGACCCCATCACTCTAGACCAGAATCTCCCCTCCAGCCTCTTGACATGAGCAGGGCAGGGGCAAGGCTGCGTTGTGTCCTGCCGTATGCCCGGGGCTCTCTGAAGCACCTGGCATTTGATAAGCACTCGATGAAATATTCGTTAAGAGAATCAATGAGTAAGCGCAGGCTAGAACTATAGCTCTCCTCGTCTCTTTATTCTTCTGGAAGCACTTCAGAACAAATATTATAGACCACTAGGATTTTTATTGGGATTGAGTTAACTCTGCACATTGCTTTGGCCAGCAGAAACCTGATCGTCCGTGTGGATGCCCGCCCCGAAGCAGGCGGCTGAGGTCATACTTACAGGGACTTGAACAGGGGGCTCTCTTCCCAGTCCACGGGCTTGGCTGCCACCGTGCTGGGCACGAGGGCACTGATGACAGACGGGCTGTGGAGAGGCAGACAGGCCTTCCGTGGGTGGGTCTCCCCCACCAGGGGCAAAGCAGCACAGCGGGGGGTCAGGAGGCTACGGGGCAGTACGTGAGGGGAGCCCACCTGACGTAGAAGCCGTGGTTGGGGTCCGGGGTATACTCGGTCCACTTGAGCAGCGCCCGCTCAAACTGAATGGACACCTTGGTGGCCGAGTTGGCCGGCAGCTGAATCAGCATCTCCAGGAGGTGCGGCTGCAGCCGGTCCTGCGCAGGCTGGTAGTGGACGTAACCTGGGGACAGGCAAGGGTCACCCACACCTCTCTCCTGGGGTCAGACTACCTGCACCCTCGCCCCTACCTATCAAGGTCTTAGGCTCTGGATCGCAGAAGCCAGGCAGGCTCAGGGAGGGGAGCAGGGTCCTAGAAAAGGGGAAAGATGTTTCCAGGGCAGCTGTCCCGAGACACGTTCAATCTAGTTAATCCTCCCATCGCTAAAACCGGGGCGCCAGGCATCAGATGCCTGATGTGATGCAACAGGAAGTTCACAGAACCGGAAGTTTCCTGACCAAAATGTGGAACCCGAATCTAATCAAGTTTCTATATCTAACCACCAGCGACCAAGAAACGTAAGGGAGGGAGGAACATGTTAAACACAGGCACGAGGACAGATTCGGAATGTAGAACTTTCCATATAACAAATGACCGAGTTTCTCTGAAAAACAGACTTGGGGGGAAAAAAGTGGGAACTGTTATAGATTAAGAGAGACTTAGGAGCAAACACCCCAACGCAAGACGTTAATAATGGGGAAACTGAGGGCGGGAGGAGACGGAGTACATGGGAACTCTGTGCTTTCTGCTCAGTTTTTCTCTCAACCTAAAATTGCTCTAAGAAAATAAAGCCTATGAATTAAAAAGAGGGAAACTTGAGAGCTTATCAAGCAAATGCAATGTGAGGACCCTGTTTCGATTCTCACCCAAAAAAACAATCATAAAGTGTTATTTTTAAGACCACTGGGGCAAACGAGAGTGCCAAGAATGGGTGGTATTCTTTTAGAAGCCCTTTACCTGTTAGAGACATAGACTAAAGCATGGTGGCTATGGTGTCTAGGATCTGTTTTAAGATACTCCAGCAGAAACGCAACAAGATCGAGAAACGGAGTAAGGGCAGAGATCACAAACGAGGGGATCTGGAGGCCGCTGGCGCTCGTGACAGGCACAGGGCAGCGTGACACGCTGTGCGTTTGACACTTTCCAGAGCGAAAGGTTAAAAAACAAAACAGAAAAGTCCACAAAATACACGCGTGGGATGTCTGAAGGAGAGATTCCGAAGGTGACACAAACAGTGGTGCGAAAGAGAAGTACAACAACCCCAGGTTGAAAAATGGGGCAACAGCAAGTGTTGAGACGCGTTAAGTCTGGGTGTTCGGGATGTGCCAGAACCTCGGCCTGAGAAGTCCTCTGTGAGGTCTCCCTCCAGTCCAAACGACAAGCGCCCCAGTGCTACGCCTGCCACCTAGCGGAAAGCAGGCGGTAAATACTGACTCCTCTTCAACACAGAAAATACAAAGACGTTTTTGAAACTACGGCTCTTTACCCCTCCCAAGGAGACAAAAACCGTCTACGCCAGCTTTATCGTTTTTTGTTTCTACACTGTTTCTCCTGCTGCTAACCTGTTCTCTACTGCAAGCCCATGAATCAGCACAAAAGGACGTGCCCGGGGCCCCAAGGAAGGAGGAGCAAGTAAGTGAAAACGATGAGGAAATCACTGCCCTCGTAAAGCCCTATTAAGAATCAGTAGTACCACGTGTTGAAATTATTTGTCTTGTAGAAACTACTTCCACATCTGGCACCGTGAGGCTACCCTGTCCGCGTCTCAAACCCTTCTGGACTTCGTGCCGGTGCAGTGTCTCTGAGACACTTGAGGAATGACCTGGAGACATGAGGGTCTGGGGGGACCCGGGGGGACAGCAAGCTGGGGAGGGGGGCCCGGTCCAGGACTCGGCTCTCACTCGGTTTGTTGTCCTTGCCCTTGGAAGTGATGGTGAGGGTGTGCACATACAGCCGCAGGTGCCAGGGCACGGTGTCCAGCAGCAGCACGGGGAAGGCCCGGTGTGGGTGCGTGTTGTACAGCAGCGTGTTCAGCTTCCCGTTCTGCAGCCCGTAGCCGCTCACGTACCGCTGGGCGTGCAGGAAGGGCACCGGAGGGGCCTCTGCACAGAGAAGTTCACGGTTAAGAGCCCCTAAAGGCAAGGGTCACTCCTCACGCCCACTCCCCTGACCTCGTTCAGACTCTCCGAGCCCGGAGGCAGTGGGGAAGAGCTTTTCCATCAGAACTGGGAAACCTGCATTCTGGAATTATCCGCGTCTTCCCCGGCCCACAGCATGACAGAATTACTATAACTTCCTAAGCACTTGTATGTGCCGAGCTCTGTGCCCCCTCCAACCCAAACCAGTTGCCCTTGTGACGGTCCGCACTTTTCCTTGGTAACACCGAATGCAATCACAATTAATTAATTGTCTCAGGTCTGCCTCGATCAACAGACATAATGTTTCTCAAATGCAGGGTTATCTTAGGTCTTCAAAAAATATTTGCTGATTGAATGAACGAACTCCGTGTTTTACATTAATTACGTCATCTACTCTGCTGGGTAATTATGACCCCATTTTCCAGATGAGACAGTAAGGTTAGGAAAGTGCCCAAGGTCACAGAGCTTAGAAGATGGAGTTAGATCAGAACAGAGACTCAAGGGGAGTCTAGGTGGCTCAGTCGATTAAATCTCCGACTTTGGCTCAAGTCATGATCTCGCAGTTTTTGAGTTAGAGCCCCACATCAGGCTCTGTGCTGACAACTCAGTGCCTGGAGCTTGCTTCAGGTTCTGTGTCTCTCTCTCTCTGCCCCTACCCCACTTGCACTTTGTCTCTCTCTGTCCCTCTCTCTCTCTCTCAAAAATGAATAAACATTAAAAAAAAAATAAAACAAAAAACAAACACAGCGACTTGGGACCTGGGTCCAAATACAAGCTTCATTCATATCCACGGTGAAAGGAAGGACTAGGAGTCTCTCCCAGAGATGAAACCTCTGTAGCCCACTGTGCCAGCGGCCCATCCGCACCCACCGCTCTCTGGGGGGCTCTTCCACTTGAGCTGGAGGTTGAGGTTACGAGAGTTGTTGATCACAGCCGTGTCCAGCAAGTCGTAGACGGCGTAGGTCTTCCGGGCACCGAGGATGACGTCCTGGTAGGTGGTGGTTGGGGGAGGGGTCACCTCCAACGTCTCATTGTCCTGGGGGCACAAGGGCAGGGCTGAGAAGAGAGCAGAGGCGCAGGCCGGCCTTGGGTGAAGGGGGACGGTTGTGACTGGAAACATCGGTACCTGGTTATAGCCGGTGATGTCCACATAGACTCGGCTCTCTGAAGCCAGGGGGCAGGGCTCCGTCAGGGTTCGGGAGAACATCCGAAAGAGGGACCAATCTGAGGGGCAGACGGCAGGGTTCAGCGGGGGCTGGGGACAGGCCTTGTTTGCACAGACAGGGCAGGACCAGTGATGGTGAGGGGCGATAATGAGTTGCCAGGGCAGCCTACCTTTCTTCCCCTGTCCTGTGACGAAGGCATCAAACACAACAGAAAGGGTCTGCCTCAGCTCCCAGGAGACGCTGGTACAGCGTGCATTCTACCACAAGGGCCAGACAGCGGCCGTGAGGACGCATCACTCCCCGCCCCCTACCACACACACAGCCTCGGGGACTCCCACCCGGACTCAATTCCTTGTCTAGTATGTATCTTCCCACCCATCGGTTTCCTACTGTTCACTACTGAGCACTTGACCCTGTGCCAGCGGCGTTATGCACCAGGCGAATGAACCATCACCAACACCCGTAGGAACTGATCCTACTATTGTTCTCATTGGACAGAGGAGGAAACCAGGCTCAGGGAAATGAAATGATCTGTCCAAGGTCATGCCCAGAGTGACTGGGCTGGCAGCTGCACACACAGCTATTGTTCTTAACCACCTGCCAGGCAACCGCTCAGTTTCCTCGGTGTGTGGCCAAATGCCCCAAATAATCAGCATCACGGCTAGCACTTACTACTGGCTCAGCCCGCGACAGACACTAGGCTACGTGCTTTACCTGCACGTTCCCTCAGGGGCCCTGGATGGCACCCCCACTGCCATTCCCCATGACTTACCCTGCAAACAGGACGGATATGCACTGCCTGGGAGTGGTAGCTAGTGTGGAACAAGCGGTCAGCCTTGAGCAGCACAGACAGGCCTGCCTGGAGGGAAGCAGGAAGAAGGGACAGGTCAGTGCCCTGCATGGTGAGACACCTGCTCCGAACACCGCCTGGGGGAAGGGGGGGGTGGGCAGGCAGAGGAGGGGCACGCGCGCCAGCCCTGACCGCTCTCCAGGGCTCCCATGCACATTCAGGGCGCTCCGGCCTCACCTTGGAGCTGCAGGGCAAGAGCTTCTTCCATGGGGTGAGGTTCTCTGTGCAGACAACCTCTCGCGGTAGCACAGCGTAGCGCAGGAAATTGTGATCAGTGCCTGAGGGAGACTCAAGCTGTCTGGGGTGGGCTTTGGGGCCCAACTCTTCAGGACCCATACTCCAAAGTTGGGGTGACCCCCCTCCTGCTCGCCATGCAATTCTCCAGCACCACCGCCCTAACAGTCTCTGCTGGGGATGGGATCCCTCCTCTCCTCGGGAGAAGAAGGCAAGGCAGAGACAGCACGGCCTCGGGAAGCCTTCCTCCCGGGCCTGCACACCCAGGGGATTTATGACCCAGCCCAGCTGAGGAAGGAGGAAGCTGAGGAGAAAGGAGGCAGAGGTTCAGGCAAGAGGTACCAGAAAGAAGCAAAGGGCCACGGGGCTATCTCACCATTGGCCAGTCCCAGGGGTTTGAAGGAGGCAGTGGGAGTGACCGTGTTGGTGGAGTCAATGAAGTTCAGAGAGGCGCAGAAGATACCCGAGAGCACGTTACTGAGCTCCTTCCAAGATTTATCCACGCTGGATGGAGACACAAACCCACTCACTGTCACGGGGCTGCCTCTGCTCCCTCCGTCCAAGCCTGCACTTGGCTGCCAAATCATTAGACTGACTAGCTCCCGGAGCTGCCAGGGCCCAGGTGCCCTGCTCAGCCACCTCCTGGGTCTCGCCCTACCCACCTCTTCTTCCTCACTCTGGACATCCCTGAATCCCCACAGGTCTCTGTTCAGGTGATTCCTCCTCCTGCGTGGGAATGCCCTACTCACCCCTCTCTGCCCACCATCAAAGAAGCCCCCTCCTCCAGGAAGGCTCTCCTGCCCTCCTCAACCACAGCCTCCTCCTGTGCTGTGATCGTTCTGACCATATGGGCCTCTCACAAGGTCCCTCCTGGGACATGGCTAGGTGGTGGCAGCATCTTGTTTTAAGCATCTTTTCTCCTCAACTAGGCTATGAGCAACCAGGGGACAAGGAGCAAGTCTGGGTCACCTACCTATGTTCCACAATACCATGTAAAGTGCCCCACATCTTCAGAGGCTGAGATCATCCCAATGAACCACCCGAGGTGTGCCCAGCTGGGCAAAACTACATATTTCCCTGTGAATGCCCTGGGCATGAAAGTAAGTCCTGGTTCCACCCTCAGAGTGGGAAGCCCTACATCTATAAAGGCTCACTGAACAAGGGGAAACAACCATTCTAGGACCCTACAAAAACATCGAATTAAATCAGAAAGAGAAATATCACAACGGACTTGGTCTCTATAGTCATAACAGAAAGCATAAAACCAAAATTCTCAACATCAGCTCCACATTACAGGCAATTATGAGCTGAGGGGAGACAGTGACAGCAAAGCAGATGGCAAGAAGGCAAAGGAGCCAGAGTTCAGGCAAGAGAGAAAGGGTTGGCAGATCTGGAAATCACCGCTTGCTCCTTAGCTGATACCACCTCAGTGTTGTCCTGGGGTTTTTCAATAATCCTCTGCTCAGAGTTTTCCAATCGCCCCAATCCTGAAGCCTCAAATAAAGACTGCAAACTTGGAATCCTGAAAGCTCTACCCAAGCCATAATCCGGTTTCACTTGGTATGCACAATATTGGCCCACACAGCATTTCTTAAATTTTGAAATCACCGATATTTAAATTTGCCAATGTGCACACTAATATCCAGATTTCTGGCACCTCTGGCAAATGAGGGTATCTGACAACAGTAGGCAACAATGTTCCCACGTGGCGACAATCTACTGAGGCTGAGTGGCAGCTGTCCTCTCAAGCTCTCTAGCCACAGTCCCTACCCCTCTCCATTATTCCCCCCTTTTTAAATCATACTTGTGCTACTGATTTCTCACAGTGGAATTAAGAGGAAATTGTGATACAACAGCAGTACCTAAACCTGTCCCTCTCCCAAACAGAAGCTATTCCTCTAACATGGAAATCTGGGGTCTCGTAGGCCAATTCTAGCCCACAGATGTTTTGTTTGGCCCTCCTGGTGTGATGATGATGGGGGTAGTGAATGTCTTTTAAAAGGTTATCCAGTTTGCCACAGTCTTCTACTGTCTTACATCTAAGTAAGCTTCAATTCTTTGTTACCTGCCTCTGCAGATACATGCATGTGCTACCCTGTGGAAGTATTAAGGGAAGTAAAAAAACCACCAAAGTAAAGAATGCCACTTAGTGGTAATATCATTTCTTACTTCTGATGCCAGTTTCACCCCCCACAGAATTGCTGTCCACTGGAACTGCTGCCCCCCCAAGAGCAGTGGCAGGATGACAATACCCGTGGCTGCTACGTCCCCTCTATGGCCTGCAACAGTCCTCAAGGTGGGCACTCACTCAGTGACGGTGTCTTGGAACCAGACCCAGAGCTCTGCACCTGATGGGGCCTGCAGGAAAGGTGGCCCCCAGTATCGAGTCCTCCAAAAGCCTTGCGTGAATGACAAGTGCAGCTCTCGTAGAGAATATTTGGAGATCAACTGCCCCAGGGCCTTGGGAAATAGCCTATAATGAGATACTGGAAAGGGGGAGCAAGTGAGTGATGATCCTGGAGGGCAGGTTCTCAGACACCCCAAAGAAGCAACAGAACCCTGGCACTGGGGCCAGAGACATCCGAATGCCATACCAAACTGTCATTTACTAGTGATGTGATCTTGACCAAGTGCCCTTCCCTCTCTACATCTCCAACATCTCACAATCGCTCACAGAACTTAGCACTGCGCCTAGCACCCAGGATAAACAGTAACCGCCAATAGCATCATCGTCAGTTTTGTCGACGCAGCGTTCTAACTAAAGGGTTATAGAGTGGCAGCCTGTGCCTGCGGAAAGAGCACCTGAACTAGGAGTCAGGAGGAGTCACTGCCCCTCTCCGGGCCTCAGTTTCACCAGCGGTATAACGGGGTTCTTCAAGAACTCTCCCATCTTTCCCCAAAGAGCTAGTTTGTCGGGGCCCGAGTCCAGGGCCCAGAAACCCTCCCCGGGAACCAAGCCCCGCCTCCCAAAGCTTGTCTCTACCCACCGCCCCAGCAAGTGCCACGGACACCTTTCCAGTCTCACCCTCTCACCTTCTTCCCGCTGCAGCTCCGAATCCCAGCGCGTGCGGAACTGGAACGTGGCGGCTACGTCCCCAGAAGGCAGCGGGGTGATAACGAGCTCCTCCCTCAGGCTGTCGCGTGGGGGCTCTGCATGGCCCCTGCCCACCGGACCCAGGAGCAGCAGCACGAGCAGGACAAGCGGCAAGGCCGCCGCCATGCCTGCGGCTGCTTCCGCCTCCAAGCGGCGCCCGCCCCCACGAAAGACCGGTCTCCAATAGGAAGAGCGTCTGAGAAAGGACTTCCGGTGCCGTCCCCGAAACCGGGGTGAGATTACCAGAGAGACGGGCTAGCTAGGTTCTTCGTGGCTGGTTCGTCTAGGGGCGCTCCGTAGGGCACGAAGGGCGGTGGACGTTTGGCCTGACGGGGGTGGGATGGGGGGCTGAATGGATGACTCCCTACTCTGCGGTATTCCTACCCATTAGAATGTGCTTAATAATACCGAGTGTCGCCACTGCCGCTGTGCCTATGTGATGATAGTTGAGGAAACAGGCTGAAAAGGTTACTTTTGCTAGGTCACGTGACAGGTCTCGTGCTTCTGGTGTCTCCATTTGCTCAGTCCTAAACCTGATGCAGAGCTTTTCCTGTAAAACCCCCGAATAACTGTCCCCTTTATTATGAAAAATGTCAAACATACAGCATAATTTAAAGAATGAACGCCTGTTAATGAACGTGTATTTCCCCATCACCTAGACTCCACCACTGACATTTTACTATACTTGCTTTATCACATATTGGTCTGTAAATCCCTCAATTCTTATGTTTTGATACATTTCAAGGTAAATTGCAGACATAAGTACACTTCTCCCCCCTAAATATTTCAGCATGCATGTCATTAAATAAAGGTTAATATTTGTTGATATTTTTCTTTTGGTGTAAAATTTACGTACAATGAAATGCACAATCCAAGTGCACATTCACTGAGTCTGACAAGAGCATACACCCATCAAGATCTAGAACATTTCTAAAACCCTAGAGAGTTGGTTAGTCCGCTTGCCAGTCAATCTCTGCCTCCTCCTTCCTTCCAGAGGCAACCAATGTTTTGATTTTTCTCCACGAAATAGCTTAATCTGTTCTACTGGCTCATATAAGTGAAACCATCATATAGTGCGTATACTTTCTTGTGTAAGACTTCATTCACAGGAAGAATGTTTCTGAGAACCATCCATGTTCTTGCATGTATCAGCAGCTTTTCTTTTTATTGCTATGTAGTATTAAATTGTATGAATACACCTTAGTTTATCCTGATGATGAACACCTGAGCTCTTTCAAGACTTTAGTTCTTATGAACTAGGTTGCTGTATAAGTTACTCTGTAGACATATGTTTATTTCCTTTGGGTAAATACTTAGGAGTGGTCAAAGAATAGGTAAATGTGTAACTGTTTAAGAAACTTTCAGAGCTTTTTCCAAAATGTATCATTTTATACTTGCACCAACAATATGTGAGAGTTCTGGATACTCCACATCCTGCTCAACGTTTGTTTTTAATTTTTTGGATTTTTTAGCTTTAGCTATATGGTATACATATATCTTATTGTGGTTTTATTTTGCGTTTTCCTGGTGTATAATGATGTTGAACATCTTTTCATATGCTTATTGGCCATACATCTGTTTTCTTTTGTGAAAAGTCTGTTAAAATATTTTTGCCCACCCCTCCCCCTTTTTCTATTGGTTTATTTGCCTTTTTATTATTGAGTTGTAAAGTTCCAACATTAAAATTCCTGCTTTGGTTTTTCCAGCTGCCCTATGAGAAACACAGTCACAAAAGATTTTGCCCACAGTCTCTTGGGGAAACTGACAACCATACTTCTACAAAGAGCCAAATTTGGTGTTGGACAGATCTACCAAGATATGCCCCAACCAACCAGAGAGGAAGTGTCAAAAGGTGTCATTATGCCCTCATTCTACTTATATATATAGTGTTCTTCTCCCACTAGACATGGAATGGAAGAAAGGCCCTGAGTTTATATGTCAGACTGAGAAGGGTTCAAATCCCCACAGCAGCTTTTAACCCATATGAGCATAAGCAACCCGTGTCACTTTTCTTTCTCTGAAAAATAGATAAACCTACTCTCGGGGTTGTTGTAAGAATTAGAAAGTATGTATATGCGGGGTCTAGAATGTAGTAAGTGCTTAATATTTACTATCATTTACTCAATCTTTGATATAGGGTCTATGATCTCCATTTTACAGAAGAGAAAGCTGGAGTACAGAAAGTAAGATAATTGCCTAACATCACATTGAGTCATGAAGCCAGGACTAGAGTCCACACCATCAACCTCAGGAAGGAAGGAAGGAAGGAAGGAAGGAAGGAAGGAAGGAAGGAAGGAAGG